TAGTGAAACGGGGTACTTTTTAAAATTTAACAAAATATTCTATATAGGTTATCACGGGAACCGATGTGGAAAACTAAACAGAGGTATTAACGAAATCGGTCGAAACCGACGCAAAAGATATACTGAAATACTCATAAAAAAATTTGCTATTATTCCAGATCGGTTAAACCTGTCTGGATTACTTCAAATTCTCGGCTCCCCTCATTTAACCGATTCCAGACCTAGAAGGCCATCTATAGCGTAGCGTAAGGTTCTTGTGAGTGACGGAAGGCGGCGGGTGACCTAATAAGTTGGACTCGGCGGCGAGTGATGGAGCAGGTCAGATCCGGAGGCGAGTGATCGAATAGATCTGATCCGGCGGCGAGTGACGGAGTAGGTCAGACCCAGCGGCTAGTGGTGGAGTGACTCTAGCATCCTGTGGAGTTCCTGACTTCGACTAAGGGTTGGACGGGGTTCGAGCGGATAGCCTGGTCGGAAGGCGTTCCAGTAGGGGTGCCTTTGTTTTCGGCCGGCGTTCGAGTGAGCAGACCTTCTTCATTGGCTGGTGTTCGAGTTAGTAGACCTTCTTGGTAAGACACGTTCGAACGAGCACACTGATAAGTATAATTATTTTCTTAACTCATCGATATTTAGTTGTTGTCGATTTGCTCTGGTCGAAAGTATCATAAATTGCTTGTTGGTTGGGGTTTATTTCCTAGTTGCTGTCAACTTTGTCTGCGTTGAATTGGTTGTTTTTTATTCCCTCTTATCGCAGCCTCTGCTATTTGGATTTAGGCTTACAAGTTGGTTGCTATATTTACCAATATCAACTTCAAAACAAAAATATTTACCTCATCAGTGCTATTTTTAGTTATTTCAAGAAAAATGATAGCTTTGTTGTGTGGGGACTAGGTGATGTTGGAGCATGACATATAAAATCAGTATATTTAGCAGAAAAATAACCTTTCTTGTTTGGTTTAAATTGTAAAAGTGTCTGCTGGCAGTTTCTTCTTTGAATGAAAACATATGAAAACATATGTAGATTGAAAGAAGAGTGTTGTTATTAAAGTGCTGAAGTGTTGAAGGAGATTCCCATGTGCTCATTGTTTGAACTAGTTTTTCTTAATGGAATGATACTATGCTTAAAAGTGTTACTCTCTTAGATCTGGCACACAATATAAAAGTCCTAAATTTTCATAAAATAATATCAAACTCTATTCTAGTTGAACTGTGAAGAGGTTGCATATCTAAATACCCATCAATGATCGGTTAAGGTGAATGATGGACATATATCAAAATTTGTTATCAATTTACTAAGTCTTATACATGGTAAAAGTACAATGTATCGACAAAAAAACGTATTTGTAGTTAGTTATTGCCTATTTATTGACTTTAAATCGACAAATTGATATCTTATATTTTATAGGTCACCACAGCTACACCCAAACAAATTTAGAGTGATGTATCTTAGTGAAAATGTTGACACCGGGTTTGGATCTCTTGGGTTTTCAATCTGTGATTGAGAGTGTATAATTTTAGTTTTAATTATAAAGTTCTGATTTTGGGATACATATTTGTTGGTTTGCAGCCTTGAGAACTTATTTCTATAAGAATCATTGTACTCTAGTGGACTTGAAAAGCTTGACACCAGGTTTGTAAGGATATGACGTGCTATTCAAAGTGATTACTTTAGTTATGTCATTGTATCTAGGTGTGTATATAGTTTTAACCCGTTCAAAGTTTGATTATTATGTTTATTCTGCGATTTCTGTTGTTGATGTCAAACTGATGGCCTTTTGTTTCTTTAGCAAAGTTAGATGGCTAACATAGAAACATAATTATTTGGCAGATGAACAACCCTCACATGCAATGAATATCTCTTCCATGTTTGAAATATAATAGCATGGAGATGTTTGGTATTTGTTTAGGTTTCAACTTGTCGGACTGATCACTTATAAAGTGTTAAATGATATGTGTTATTTTGTTTGCATTCACTTATAACATTCCTAATTTCTAAAGCATCAACAAACGGTTTGATTTTAAGACAGTGATATCATTCTCATTTCATGAAGAATAATAGTTTAATTTGTTTGCTTTCTGTTGCAGGTACTCTCTCTACTTTGCTCCCTGTTGCAGGTTTGTTGTTCTCTACTTTGCTTTCTGTAGCTAATATGTGTTGTGCAGCTAGGTTAACTAAATTAGATAGTTTTAGATCAAGTATTCATTTGATTTATTATTGTGTAGTACACTGAGTTCAAGACTTTAATTGATGACTTTAGTTAGTTAATTTTTCTAACACTGAACTTATATTTGTGTTTTCTACATGTCTTTATTGAGAGCATCTTTTTTGGAGGGATATAAGAAGAGCCACTTTCAACAGGTTTAATGTTTTCTATTTTAGAGGTAAGTTTTTGTTTGGTTGACTTTTTCTAAATTTTTTGTTTGATTAGTTGCACTCTGGCTATAACAATTGAGCCTGGCTGAGGAACAGGTCCATGGGCAAATGTTTGTTTCTCCAAATGTTATCTCTCCTTTTCAGATTATTCTCCTTCACATGGTGTCAATTAAGAGCATATAAATATATAATACCAATTAACAAATAGTGCTTTTATGCAATTATATTTTGGTGACATAGGTTCCAGTGCTTAATCCCCAGACAATCAAATGGATACAGCCTCACACTCTTGTTCGATACCGGGGAATGATTCAAGACATGTTGGGTAATGAATTTTATGCTGGAGCCTATAAGGTATCATTTTTAATCCTCTTTCTCTTGACTATGTCATTATTAATTTATTATAAACATAGATGATATGTTAGTATTAACTTTGTTTTCTCTCTCCCCTTAATTAACAAGGATGGGGATACATGGAGAACTCATAAGTTTGCTGATATTTCTCAATTTCCAATGGGAGATACACCTGAGATGCGAGTTTGGGAGCGCCACTTGCTGTACTGTGTTCCTGCGAGTTCTTCTATGTCATAGTTACATACTTTCATGTTCATGTGTTATTATTTCACCGTCAATGAGAATATCTGCCTACATATCTTCTACTAGTATAACTACCTGTTCTTGAGTATGTTTATTCTTTGGTAGAAGCTCATTACTCATGTTTGTTCAGGTACCAGGGCAGAATCCGTGGACTGAAGTCACTGAGCCTTGTGAAGTTTTAAAGGATACAATCACATGCTCTACTTATACTTGTTTGCAGAGGGAGAAGCGCCAGAGAGAAGATGATCCTATAATGGATGATCTGAATATGGAAGTAATTCTCTAAATTTTCACTTGTTTCGTATTTGCCACACACTACTACCCTTTTCTAAACAAACTATTCTGTTGCAATCCAATATCATGGTTATGTGCCGGAGCTGAAATTTGCCATGCATTCTCTTTTAAAAATGCGTTGTATTCCACCTGTCATATTTTACTGTCCTAGTTACTATTCATGGGTAAACTACATATCCTTTGTTAGGTTATTTTATTTACTATTGTTTTAAATTTTTTAAAATGAAATATTCGTATCATTGCTATTTCACAGCTTTTGCTGTAGTTTGGAAATATGTAAGTTTACTTCCTTTATTTAAAGTAAGTTGTCCAACTTAGATCCTTCCTCATTACTCAAGGATACATCAAATGGGCCCCATCATTATTAGATCCAACTTAGATCCTTCCTCACCACATAATACTCCTTTATGTAGTTTCCAACTTAGATCCTTCCTTGAATTACGGGCTAGCCACATCAATTATGATGGCCTCAGTGGTGGGGAAATGTTTGTCTCTCTTAATTCCATCCCAGACTATATTCTACATTACAAAGAAGTTGAAGTGAAGTAGAGCTACAATTAAGTTAAGGAATCAGGTTTCCTCACTATAAGTTTGTTTCTTGATTTACATTTTGAAGAATTGTCATACTTATAACACAAATATGTCATGTGGACTGCTAGAATCACTACACCACTATGTCTTTTCTTTTGTCCTTTTCTTTTCTGAAAGGCATAAAGAGGGAGTTTCATGGAAGAAATTAAGCTCATGTGATGACCATGAAGACTTTTTCATCTCGTCTATTCTCCATTGTTAATGTTTCAGCCTTATTGTATTTTGACGTAGGAGCTTTTATTTAGATAGCATTTTGTTCTTGTTTATTGTTTTTTGTTGCGGGGGATGCCCCTTTTAATTATGTAGTATGTACATTCACATTTATGTGAGAATTTGAGATATAAATAAAATTGTTTGAAATTTTGATTATTGATTAGTATTAAATTATATATATATTGTAATCAATGTATCATGTGTATGTTTTCATCACTCACATGTCATTGAGTTTTGTGATATAGTAGTTGATGATATTGTTAATAATGTGATTATAGTATAAATGAGGGTCATATTGCAAATTGTTTTCCTGAAAAATACCAAATAATTTGAAGCTTTTCACATCAGCTGTAAAATAACCGATGTGATTGCTTTTCTACATGGGTTATAACCGATGTGAAACACATATGTTTTGGGAAAAAATGAAGCTTTTCACATCGGTTGATAAAATGACCGATGTGAAATCTTTTCTACATGGGTTATAACCGATGTGAAAAACCTATGCTCCGGGAAAAATTGAAGCTTTTCTACATCAGTTGTAAAATAACCGATGTGGTTTCTTTTCTACATGGGTTATAACCGATGTGAAATATCATTAAAAACGTCGTTTCGGACTATCTTCTAGATCGAGCACTAAACGACCGATGTAGAAAGACTTTTCACATCGGCTGTTTGACCGATGTCAAAAGTCAATACTTTTCACATGTGCTGGAACCACATCGGTTGTTTGACCGATGTGAAAAGCCTTTTTTGACTGATGTGAAAAGCTTTTTTTGTACTAGTGTCTTCTCCCCAATCTATCAAGTTTCAACGGGGCATACCTCCATCATCAGTGGAAAAGCTTGTTCGGGCTAGTAAACAAGTTACTGTCACCAAAGCATGCCGGACTTGGCAAATGCAACAAGCAAATCCTCCTGGTCTTCCACGGCATTGCCAACAACAAACAGTATGACTTGGCTCAGCTATTCTTCACAGAGCTGATGGATCTAGTAAAGGCCAAGGAAAAGAACAAGGCAGACACTGTTCCCTACGCTAGGTGGCTCGGGCTCATCATCAATGAAACCATGTCAAAACACAAATCCATCCCCAAACGCCATGATGAACCCCATTTCACAGCTCCCAAGCTCCAATACTTCAAGACTGTCAAATATCCTGTCTATGGCCTGCGGATCCTAGACTCACTACTCAATCTTACAAATCCGTCAAATCCTGTTGTCATCAAGTACAAAGAAGATCTGAGTACAGTCCCTATGGTTCAGCAAATCCCAGCTGGACCTACCCCGGGGACATAGCCGAGTGAACGTGAGGGTCCAAAGAGAGCCCCAAAGCCACAGAAACCAGTGGCACGTCGGCCCTATGAAGGAAAGTCCGACGACTCTCTCGAGATGAGTCGGACGGCTGAGGGCACCTCGACGGACGCTGATGAATCTGCTGATGAATCATCCAGTGCTGCCCCAAATAAAACTGACGATGAGGCATCCGATAGCGTGGCCACCCACAACACTGATGACGGATCTGATGATGATAATGATGACCGTGATGACAGTGACGATGTTGAGCACACATATGCTCTGATTAGAAAGGGTAAGCTGCCTGCCGAGTCTCCAAAGAAGATAACCGCTGAAGACACAGCACCCATACTAGCCGGCCGTTCAAAGACGTTCACCATTAAGGACGTACGCCAATCAAAGAGTGTGCACAGAGAAATCTGCAGCTCCAAGGCTGACTACGATGAAGCAGCACACGTCATAAAAAATACTCAGGACGCCATCATCAGAGAGAAACGGGCAAAAATTAAGAACGACAAATCATCAAAGCCCAAGCCACAGCCACACATCAGGAAGAGCCTAATAGATAAAGCTGATGAGGATATCTTTGCTGGCTGCGACCCCTTTTTCAGCATAAGCCGAGCTGAATCCCTAAGCACAGGAGCCGATCTTCTCGGTTCCCGGGTAGAAGTCGCAGCATCTGGCTCACCTGCGCATGCACAGCCCTCACCTAGCCACGCGTTAGCCTCCCAACAGGCTCTCGTTTCACAAACACGGGACTCACCCACCTCTCTGGTTCCTTCCAAATCAGTTGAGCGAATTGTTGGCCAACCGCCCGAGGTCACAACCCCTCCTTCCCACACATCGAGTCTAGGTGTCACATTTCCCACCTTTTCTTCCTTTTCTAGGACACCTACACTATTCGCTGCACATACAGGTGCACACACCCTGAATGCAACGACCAGAGTGTAAGCTATGACGGTCAGAAGTCCTGCTATGCCCACAACGACTCCATCATTGAACGCAGGCCACACATCAGCTGTCTTCATTGATGCTGTGACAACAGTTACAACCCCCGTAACTGGCCATCCCACCTTTGAAGATATCAACGTTCTCATGAATCGCTTACTGGATTCCACCATAAAACCATGGGTTCAAGGAGCAATGACCGCTTTTGCACAGGAATTTAGGACCACCCAAGCGGTTCAGCCTGAACACCACGCACCCCAACCCTCACCCGAACCTTTCCTCTCTCATACCCAACCGATATCTTCCCCAGTCCAATCTAACCAATCCATCAACCAACTTCCCTTACCTTGACCATCTTAGGGAACCCAAGATACACAGCTAGTGTCTTCCCCTACGTCGACCACACCATATCCCAATCCTTACTCCATACCTACCCCTCAACTAGCCGATATCCTTTTCCTCCGCCTTTGCTTTTCTGAAGACTACCCTTACCCCCTTTGAAAAGGACCTGATGGCGGTCTTCTACAAACATAACCGCCCACCGCCGAGCACTTGACGTGACAGTCCCCGGGGCCAAAAACGTTCCCATGAGGACCCCGACGATTTGGAACCTCATGAGGGGGAGAGCAAACGGCCCCGGACACTTGAACAAGGTGCTTCAACTAGCCTCGTCCCACAGCCAACTCAATCTCCACCACCAACCAATCAACCGCCACCCACTTCTAGCCAGAACCAAACCCAACTCACTAGCACGGTCGAGCTAGTTGGAACATCCTGAGGCTTATCTCCAAAAGATACTGTCCGAGGAGGGGATTGAAGTCCTGACGATGTTACCTCCGGTACATCACTTGGTTCAGGCCATCAGTCAGAACATAGTTCGAAACTGATGACAACATCCCGAGGCTTATCTCCAAGAGATACTGTCCGAGGAAGGGATGGAAGTCCTGACGGTGCTATCTCCGATACATCCATTAGGTCAGGCCATTAGCCAGAACCCAGTTCAAAGCCGATGACAACGGGCAATCCAAGTGAACCTGGTAGTGCTTCTCTAGCAACATCACCACTCCGACAGCAGCAAAGAGTCCCATACATTCCCCCAAACAAAGATGTTCATGACACGCTAGAGGATGCAGTGATGTATGACAATTGGCCACGCAAATGGACAAAGTGGGATGATCTAAGGTGTGAAGCTGAAACAGATGACATGCAACGCAACTGGTGGCTTCGTGAACTGCTAGCAAAGTGTGCTGAAGACATCATATGCCTTAATGAAGAGGAACTCAAGGAAGGGGAAGATTACAAGAAAACTCCCAAGGAGCTTGAATCAATTATTAGACAATCTGCGGGTAAAATGCCAACAAAGGAAAAACCCTAGGAAAATGTACGAATCAATGCCCCCTTCTAAGAGGAAATCAGAAAGGGGATCTGGAGGAAACCAGGCAAACTGAAGCAACTTAATGAACTGAAGATCCGTGGCCTCACGCACCTAAAAGGCAAATTTGTAGGCGGACATCTGCACATGCTACATCACAGGTCATCAGGGAAACCGCGAGAGATTCTTGAACAAGACATGAGGTCTAGCATTCATCCGATCAACGACATTCTTGACATTCACAAAGAAGATCACCACTCTGTGCCTTTCTATAGCTTCAAGGTCCAGCGCACTGACTCAAGCATATTTATCTGCTAGGAGAACGACTTTATTATGATGAAAATGGATGACATCTACCAGATGTTCAGGGTATGCATATTTCTTCCACTGAATCGAAATAGAGTCTACAGTGAAGGATTTGAGGCGATCAAGCGATTTATGCTAAGACAAATCAGATTCCACTCAGCCCATGATCTACAAATGGCGCTCGAGAACAATGTTCGGAAGGCGAATCTCACTAGACCGATTGTGTATGGAGAAGAGCTTGAGGAATATGAACCCTATCACATTTTTAAGGATCCGCTCTCAATTCTATATCTAAACCACAAAGGATCGAGGCTTGAGAGTTAGAGGCGAGATAGAGGGTAGGGTTTGCCGCTGCTCTCCTTCTTGAGGGAGAGCGAAGGTCAGTTCATTGTATACCAGATTTGGTTTTCATCTCGATATCTTTCTATCTGCTTCTTCTTATCTGCTATGATTGATTGATTGTTAAAGAACAGGGACTAAGAGTTTGTATCAGAGCCGATGCGTGAAAAAGGTTGAATCTATCTGCGTTTTTCGTATCTAACGAAGAACTGCTATGCTTTTCTTCTATTTTTTTATATAGAGATTTGCTCCTATAATCTTGTTCGTGAATGAAAATCTGTAAAATCTATACTGTTGGAATCGCCTTTTCAAAACGATTCTACAACATATCTTCGTTTTCGATTTCTTCAATTTTTAAATTTCGAAGATCTCTACATTGAGATCTCGAGATTCTAATTTTACATGGCTGCAGAAACGATTTCGACTTGAAACTGATACAAGGAGAATCTCGACCTTCAGGGCTATTCAGATCAGTTTTCAGTTTTTCAAAATTCGAGGATTTCGAAATTCCGGATCTCGACATTTTGAGGATTTCAAAATTTGGGATCTCGATATTTTGGGATTTTGATGTTTGAGATTTCGACATTCTGAAAGATTTCAAGATTTTTGGAATTTCTCAATGTTTTTGTTGGGCCGCAACAGCCAGCCTGCCGGTGCAATTGGACCGCGTGGCGCTTCGCTTGTGCTATAAAGGGGGAGGAGCGTGCTTCACTATCAGCGATTTCTTTTAGTGTAGCGGTAAGCGCAACGATCCACAAGTGGTATCAGAGCCAAGGTCACGGGTTCGACCCCCGACAACAGCATGCTGCGCAGTTGTAGGCTGGCAGGTGCTGGGGGGAGATTGTTGGGCCGCGGGTATGCGGTGCCAGCATTAGCCAGCCTGCCGGTGCAATTGGACCGCGTGGCGCTTCGCTTGTGCTATAAAGGGGGAGGAGCGTGCTTCACTATCAGCGATTGCTTTTAGTGTAGTGGTAAGCGCAACGATCCACAGTTTTGCTTCTTGAAACTCTGAATTTTTCAAAGCTTGACATTCTTTGTAGTTCATCGAAGCTTTACATTATAGGATATTTGGATGATTCCTTGCTTATCAAAGTTTTTAGAAGTTTTTTATGTTCTGATGTTTTTCAAGCAACAAGTTCTCGATATTCTGAGGTTTTCGAAACTCCAAAGTTTTCGATGTTCCAAACAACTTGAAATTCAGAAGATTTCGAAGTCTCGAGGTTTGTTTTGCAGGTGGATTTCACCATTATTCTTCGAGGCAAACTCGAGATTAAGATCTCGAAGTTTAAACCTCGAGATTGTAATCTCGCAATTTAAAGCTCGAGATTGCAATCTCAAAGTTTAAACCCCGAGATTATAATCTCGAGATTTAAACATCGAGATTGCAATCTCAAAGTTTAAACCTCGAAATTGTAATCTCGAGATTTAAACCTCGAGATTGTAATCTCGAAGTTTGAACCTCGAGAATGTAATCTCGAGATTTAAACCTCGAGATTTAAACCTCAAGATTGGAATCTCGAAGTTTAAACCTCGAGATTGTAATCTCGAGATTTAAACCTCGAGATTGGAATCACGGCGTTTAAACCTCAAGATTGGAATCTTGAAGTTTAAACCTCGAGATTGTAATCTCGAAGTTTAAACCTCGATATTGTAATCTCGAGATTTAAATCTCGAGATTCTAATCTCGAAGTTTAAACCTCGAGATTGGAATCTCGAAGTTTGAACCTCGACGTTTGAACCTCAAGATTGTAATCTCGAAGTTTGAACCTCGAGATTGTAATCTCGAAGTTTGAACCTCGAGATTGTAATCTCGAAGTTTGAACCTCGAGATTGTAATCTCGAGATTTAAATCTCAAGATTGTAATCTCGAAGTTTAAACCTCGAGATTTAAACTTCGAGATTAGGAAATCGAGGTTTTGCCTTAGAATTTGTTTTTAATTCCACCTGTTCTCGATATTCAACATCGAAAACCTCAACTTCAAAGAAATTCCTTAAAAACTCAAAATTCAAGATATTCAGTGACATCGGACTGTTTTGGCCATAACTTTTGACTCGGTGATCCGATTTAAGCGTATAATATGTCGTTAGAAAGCTAAAGAAAATATCTACATGAATTCCTGGGTTTACCCCAGACACCCAAACCACGCTCCCTCACTCGAGTTTCTTGAGGGAGTTTTCGTTCGTTTTCCGAGATACATTGTCAATCACCGGTGTCAAGGTCAAAACTTAGGCAAATGTGTTCAAATTCTTCCAAAGTCAAACCTAAGGTCAAAGTTTTTCTAAACTAAAATGTAGAGGTCCGAAAATCGTAGATAATTCAATCAACCTCGCGTCAACGGTCATTCTACAACAATCAACAATCAACTACTGAAGCCTCCCCTAACTCGTCAACATTGTGTGATCATCAATATGCTGAAATTCTAAATGATGAGCTTAGGGAAACGGTCATTGTGGTACCTATTCAGATCGCTCCACACACATGGCGGGTATGACGAGCTGTGAGCAATCAATCCTTGCACATTCTGAGGGGGAGTTTTAGTTTTCTCCTCCTGGCGCCTTACACCGACAAAGCAAGGAATCTCTCAAATGATGCAATATTTTAGGGGTAGTGTTCAATGTTATCCTCCCCGGTGCCTAACAATGACAAAGCATACCGAGTGCTCCAGTTGAGAAGGAGTACAGAGAGAAAATTAATGACAGAACATGTCCCTATGGCTTAGTAAACCCAACTAAGCCTACCCAAGGGACAAAGCCGAGAGTAAGTGAGTGAGTGAACATTATGAGCGTTAGGAAGCATAAGGCTTGAGTGAGCAAGAAAAACAATTATCAATGATAAGTCTGTTACCTCAACTGCCTACTATCCATTAAACATTTACTCCTAGTCACTCAAATACTCTGGGCAATTCCCCAATAGGTTCAGGACTGATTTAATAAGATCTCGGGTAGAAGTCACTGCATCTTGTCCAACAGTGCATTTGTAACCCTACCCAAGACCACTCACTTGTCTCCCAACAGACAAGTGTTTAATCATAATTCACGGGGAACCATGTCTCTCATTTCTGTCTCCTTCCGAGGCAAGTAATACTGACTACAGTGGCCTCAGCACCATGCCACTGAACTCTCATTGATCACGTTGTGTCTAGTTACTCACTCCCAAATGTTTTGAAATTTTCTAGGACACAGACGCACTTTGAGTCAGTTGCATGTTTACATGACATGCGAGAACTTCCATAGGGCTCATCTATGACAGGTGTAGAACAATGATTGGAAGGAAGTCCTGTTGTTGCAACATTGCTTATCACCAACATTTTCAGGCCATTGCTTTAGAGTTTATCTCTATAGTGATGATAACGAGTGTCTACATGACCTCGGGGGGCTACAAGTTTCTCAATGTTGATCTTTATGATCATGCATATAACAACCAAGAGTGACATCTTTTCGGATGTTTCACAATAATTTGTTGGAAGTCCTGTTAGACCTTTAATTTTTCTATCATTTTATACAGGCGACACATCCGTGTTTACATTGATGTTGTGATAACGGAACACCTCAGTGTATCCGGTTTTGTCATTTTAACTTTTTGTTTTGTTTTTCTGTTTTGTTTCCCAGTTCAAAAAGAATAAAGGCATGACGCCCCGATTCATCGGATCGTCATAAGGGGGAGAGTGATCCACATGCTGTTAAATGTCACCAAATCATTCTCGAACACTTCTCTCCTCCAACGATTCTCTTCTATCTCTACACCTCAAATGGTCAACTATGCTCATAAATTAACCATTATTTTCCGCTGTGCCACCGACAAGTTCTCCTCAAGAAGACTACATTGTGGAGGAGACAGAGGTCAAATACTCATGTACTGAAGATGAATCTCGTGCGCACCTGGTAATCATCAGAATATTCATTCTAGAGGTGCTTTCAGACTTCATTCAAGCTGATCAAGAGCTACTTCTGGAAGGCACGGATTACAAGAAAAAGATTCCTCAGCTCTCGGCATCAAAGATCAAATTGAAAAGAAGACATCAAAAGGGGAGATTGCAAGGAGTTCTTCATAAAGCCTTCTCAAGAAGTCAAGTTCAAAGACAACGGAAGCTGAATAACAACAAAGATAAAGATATATGTGCTGCAATGTTGATTCAACACGAGTGAACACCAAGGGGGAGATTGTTTGGAATATTATATGGTGTCCAATCTAATTTAATATCTTTGTATTTGTGTAGTTATTAGTTACACGTGTAATATGGGCCACAAATGTGTATCAGCCCATTAGCTTCTTTGTAATCCATAAGTTAGCAAACTTCTCCTATAAAATGAGACTAACTTATGGAAACCCTAAGTATCGAAAAAGGCTTCGAGAGCATAGAGGCGAGATATAGAGATTAGGTTTTACGCTTCTCTCTCTCTCTCTCGAGGGAGAGCAGCGGCCACTGTACACGGTATACCAGATTCGTAGATCATTTCGATATCTTTCTATCTGCTTCTTCTTCACTGCTTAGATTGTTTGTTTGTTAAAGAATCAAGGACTATCAGATTTCCAATAATATAGTATATATGACCTTTCGTTATATCATACATTCATACGTAGTATTTGCTTAATTTTACAACTCAATTAATGTGGTTTAAATCTTAACTCTCACGGTAGAAATATAAATTAGAACTAATATTCAACCTAGAATAAAGAAGAAAATTGTTGAACTTTTTTGTTATATTCAACAAATTTATAATATTCTTTTTATATTTTCACTTGAACTTAATAAAGACGATATGTATCTGGTGTCGTCATTGTTGAAGATCAAGTCATTAGTTGTGTTGTAGTATTTGAGTATTTGCGAATTTGAAGACAAAAAGTCAGCCTCTTAGATTTTTTCATAGGATTTAGTACACACTTTCTTATATTTTTATCGTCATTTCATGTAAACTTGCCAATGTGATGGTATATACCAATTGTAATATTTGTAATATTCAATACATAATATATATTTTTTACTTATTCCTTTCGTTTTTTGTCAATCTGAAACTTTGCAGATACCATGCGATCTATTGCTTTTTATGTTGATCTTTTTTAGCTATAACTTGTTTAACAAAATTTCTTTTACTTTTAAATATTACTAGTTACTCCACTCATGTGTGTCTGTATAATAGTTTAAAGTAAGGGTAGTTGTACCAACAAGTTAAAAATTAAATAGTTAAATTAAATGGAAAACATGATACGATGAAAAGGATGTACATGTAAGTCCAATTAACTGTCAAGTGAAATTACAAATTATTATAACTTTCCTTGTATGCAACATTCATTTCAGATAGACTTGTTAGTTGTTACTCTTGAGACCGTCACCACATACAATTGGTCATGCATAAAAAAGGTAAGAGACGCCACGGAGGAAGATGATAACCTTTTCCAAAGATTGGTCATCACTTTACTTATTAATGGCCACTGCGCGCAAATGATACTGGGATCGCTACACAG